TAGTATTGTTATATATACCACACTCTCAACTATTGAAGTGACAATTAATTGTGTACATACGGTTTTGAAGTAGTATCCGACGAAATAGTATTGTTATATATACCACACTCTCAACTATTGAAGTGACAATTAATTGTGTACATACGGTTTTGAAGTAGTATCCGACGAAATAGTATTGTTATATATACCACACTCTCAACTATTGAAGTGACAATTAATTGTGTACATACGGTTTTGAAGTAGTATCCGACGAAATAGTATTGTTATATATACCACACTCTCAACTATTGAAGTGACAATTAATTGTGTACATACGGTTTTGAAGTAGTATCCGACGAAATAGTATTGTTATATATACCACACTCTCAACTATTGAAGTGACAATTAATTGTGTACATAAGGTTTTGAAGTAGTATCTGACGAAATAGTATTGTTATATATACCACACTCTCAACTATTGAAGTGACAATTAATTGTGTACATAAGGTTTTGAAGTAGTATCCGACTAAATAGTATTGTTATGTATACCACACTCTCAACTATTGAAGTGACAATTAATTGTGTACATACGGTTTTGAAGTAGTATCCGACGAAATAGTATTGTTATATATACCACACTCTCAACTATTGAAGTGACAATTAATTGTGTACATACGGTTTTGAAGTAGTATCCGACGAAATAGTATTGTTATATATACCACACTCTCAACTATTGAATTGACAATTAATTGTGTACCTAAGGTTTTGAAGTAGTATCCGACGAAATAGTATTGTTATATATACCACACTCTCAACTATTGAAGTGACAATTAATTGTGTACATACGGTTTTGAAGTAGTATCTGACGAAATAGTATTGTTATATATACCACACTCTCAACTATTGAAGTGACAATTAATTGTGTACATAAGGTTTTGAAGTAGTATCCGACGAAATAGTATTGTTACGATCCTTTACCACAATGTGGTTGTTGAAATTATACTTTGAAACATGGTTGTTATGGTCAAAGTAAGGCTTATTGTGGAAAGGCTGCTATTTGTATTCGTGTTGTTAAATAAGTTAGGCTTTCTAACAACAGATTAACTATGCGGAAGATGTCTTAGCTTCCAGGCAAACATTACAAAAAGTGGTAACAAATCTAGAAAGAAATATTATTTTTAGATTTTTGTTAAATAAGTGCTTTTCATGTTAACTGCATTTTACCAGTAACAGAAAATGGTCGTTTTATACAGGATATTCTCAATTAAAACTTTCTAAATATACAATGTCTTCTCGTTTTTTAGTATATCAAAACATTTTTCAACTGAAAATTTATATAATTAGCCTTATAATGATATCCATAATAAGCTAAACCACGCAACAGTTGCATTTACCAAGCTTTGTTTATACGAGAACTAATCGAAGCCTAAATAGTGTTTGAAAAATAACCTTGCTGAATGTTTAACTTTATCATCGTACTCTACATTAATACAAATAAATACCTTAAATAGTATTATCAATGAATTATAGTTTTGTTTCATTTTAAATAATCATAGAACGTAAGCTTATTATCAAACTATCGTTTGATTGTAAATAAATAAAAACAAAATAAGACCAGGTGCTTTAAAAAAGTATTGAATTGTTTACAATACATTTTCGTTTGTTTACAAAACATGTTGTTTTTGTTGTTTACAAAACATGGGACAGCATTTAACAAGAAAAAAGCTGCCTGTAGGAAAAATTTTCAATCATATTTTTCCTGAAAAAAAAACTAAGGATTATTTATCATTTTTAATTAAATTTGTTAATTTTAATTCAGTCAATGTTTTGTTATGTAGCTAATGTTAAATAGCCACAAACAGAAGCGGTAATGCAGCTTTATTAAGTCTATAAATAATATAAAAAAAAACTGCAATTGATAAATATAAATATTCATTGACATTAATAACTAAAAGAACATCAAAGCACTGTTTATCGCCACAATGTACAATGATAATTAACTGTGAGACCATAACTATTCGTTACAGGATGAATTATTATGCTTTACACTTTATTAAAACAGCTTTGCTCTGCAGTGATAATTTTAACCGCATTCCTATTAAAAAAGTAAAATTAATCTTTACTTTCAACATTAAGTGAACGCTTACAGACCTCTTTATTAGCATAGTCAATCACAAAAAAGGTCATTAATTGACATAATCAGACATAGGTCACGTTTAAGGCTTCGTGTCCACGACATTTTCTAAGGATTTATTACTTAAAATAACCATTGTATTTTATCCACAAACACCAACACATAAGCAGCAATGCGTGTCATCCACATCAATATGTGAGTATATTAAGGAAAATAGTACAAAAAAATTTGTATTAATTGTTTTTCAGAAGACTAGGTCCTACTGTATTTACAAATAATTAAATAGATAATTTAATAATATTTTAATAATAATAATAATTATTAATAATAATTTAAATAGAATTTTACATGTAATACTTGCATTTCCCTATATTATCTTAAACAAAATAACATAAAAGAATCAGCAATTATAATTTAAAACACTTAAAACTGACCTTTTTCCCGTGAATAAGGGAAAAATCATGTTATTTTAATTTACCATTTCGTAAATTTCAAAGTATTATTTTTGTATTTATCATGATGTTTTCATTTGATCATAAAAGACTTACCTTAGTGATTCTCTGAAAAAAAGAATTGCTTGTTTGTGATCTCATTATGTAATGATAATTTTTACGCGTACTATATACTATATAAATTTAAAAAAGTTAAGTTTATATTATTCGCATGTTATGAGATTGGCACATCAACAATATCACTTCCCTATGGCTATAATCATGAAATTCAATTAAGGAATATATATGAACCATTTTAATAATTATTTATTTAATATTCAAAATCTGTTTTTTTCATTAGTTGTATACTAAAAAGAGGACAGTTAGTTTTCTACGCGTAATACTAAAACAACTTTTAACTTGTTTTCTAAGTCCAAAGTCTTATAAGGCTATGACAATTTCTATGAACATCTTTGCAGTTTAAAAGCTATTTAATTTATCAAAAGCCTTCATGTCTTTATACGATAAAAATGTCCTCTTATATGATTTGAATCAAGCAAAATGATAAATAATGAGTAAATTATTGTCGTTTATAAAAATGTTAAATTGAAGTAAAGACATATGAAGGATTTATTAAAAACATTTTATCGTATCGCGAAAATGTAGTTTTTTAACCTTACTATTAATGGACCTATAAAGTTTTATAGTAATGATCCAGAAAAAAATGTTCACTGACAAGTAAGAGTCTGTGACTGGAGATTTAACTATTTATAAGCTGTTACGAATTAATTAAGAAAGGGTGTTTTTTTCATATATGAAGACTATGCATGTAAAATACTATCACAATTTAACACTTCCATCGGTTAACTTGAACAATTAATTTAACAATTACTTTTATTACTTTGACTTAAAGTAATATTTTCATCAGTAATTTAAAACCAAAAAACACAATTTTTTTTAAACTTCGAGTGAGGACCCTGCACTTAGTCGTTCAAGTAAAATTAACCATTGTTTCTTGTTCAAGGACAGGAATAAAACGTAAACACCTTTAAAACAATATTCTATTAAAAAACTGTATTTAAGGTTAACAAAAACATTTAGCATTCACATTTTATGCAGTTGCTGCAACCCAGCAGTATAACGTCACATGAATAAAGATACAGTCAAATGTTTCATCCAAATTGCATTATTTAACGGATGGAAGTGCTCTAGCGTCACACCTAACGAATAGTTTAACATAGGTACTTGGACGATCTGAATGTGGAACGGAGTGCAAAGCATAGAAAACTAATAAATGATTGCTTTCGGAAAACAAAAAATAGTTTTATAAGAGAGTTATATCATACAATATAAAAACAACATACAATTTTTTTTGGAGTCGTTGTGATTCAATTAGACAAGATAATAGTCATTTATAATTTAAAAAATATTAATTAATTAATATAATACTTACATCAGGATAAAATTTTACTAAGACGCTTTATTACTCCGCCTGGAGCAATAAACCTAAGTACTTTATAAATTATGTTATTTGAATATGGAATAAATCTGAGACATTTGAGAAAACTTGAATAGTAAATATTCAATCGGACAAATGAAATTCGCTTAGTCTTTATGTATCCTGCAGTAGTGTTTTTTGATGTACAATGGATTTCTTTAGGAACCAACAACCTTTTTTATAGATTTATAGGTGTTGATTATGTAGCCTCCACAGATTTTTTTTAGAAGTCCAAACCATGTTTAAATGTGTTTATATTGTACATGTTGTATGTATACCCCCAAGTGACGAGTCTGCGAAGATGATATTCGTGTTTTTGAAGACCTGATGGTATAATTATTATCCTGAAATGTACACATAGTCATTGTATTAAAAACAAAAATTGCTTAGATCGAAGATATGTAACCTCGATTGATTGATAAATGAAATAAAACATTAATTTGCACATACTACATTTTAAAATAAATTTTTATACATCTCCTTAAAAACTAAATTTAGAATAAACCTTAATATATGTAAACTTTCCCATCAACACAGTTAGTCTGACAATCAGTGTTAGTTTAGATTCACTCTCACTCAGCATCCAACCACATTCACATTCGAGCCACTTCAGTTCTCATCTTCAACCATATTCGGCATCCATTCAGGCAAAAACTTCAGCTTCGAAACAATAACAGTGAACAATAGCCGATCAAGTTTGTACATTAAGTGGGGATGAAATGCCGGTACAAGACAATGCAACAGTTTTGCTGTGAATTATTAACTCAACAAGTTCGGTTTAATTTGTTCTTGTGTCGGCGAAGGAACAATGGCGGTTTGAGCCGCGAGAAGTTGGCAGTTAGCGTAGACAATGTGTTGGGAAGTTGCCGTAGGGGAGTAGGGGAAGCGGGGCTAGTGGGGTGAGTGGAGGGGGTGACGCAGACTTCACTAGCGCAACCTGACGGAACGGCTGGTGAATCACACAGTCACTTGGTAGACGCCGGGTTGCACACACGCTTTGGATAACATGCTGACTGCACGTGAGTCATTGTGACGTTTAAGTAGTTTTTAGGATGTAAGTTTGTTTAAATTCAAAAGTTAAATTGTGTTTTGTGTAAAAGAAAACTGTTCATAATAGCGATTTCAGTTTAAAATAAGCTTTAATAGTATATATTTGTTAAAGATAAAACGGTTGTTTAGTATTATAATATATTTAACCAATAATATAATTCTTATTTTTAACTGTCTTTCAAACTATTACAATTATATGACAAATTTGATAATCTAATAATTGGCTCCAACAATTTATTAATTAGCTGAAGGAAAATCCATCCTAAGTAATCTAATTATGGAAATTATTTATTTTGGTTTAGAAGTATCTATATATCTATAAAATATAGCTAACCATCGCATCATGTAGTATAAATTTCAAAGGTATGGGGTTTTGACCCCAATAATTTTTAATCTGAATATTACCCTTTAGGATTAAAAAATAAGCTTAGAACATTGACTTTTTAAAATCAGCGTTAACTTCTAAAGGATTATTGGGTAGAAATAGATTAATATTTAACTGTGCAAAATTAATTGTTGGTGCCTAACTTATTAAACTGTCTAATTATATTTCAGTTTTCATTAGATATGACATGAGTGTTAAACAATTGAAGTACATTTACCTTCTTTAAGTAAATATTACATAAATTAACTGTAACGCGGGATTTCAGTCCTGAAAGCACGAGATCAAATCCCGACAGTTACTAAATACGTTTCACAACATTCTAGTAAACCTATAACGAATAATAAAGTACATAGCTTATTCAAGCAACAATAGCCATTCGAACTCTTGTAACATGTGGCTTATCATACAACACAAAAGTAATTAACTAGTAATTTTATTGAATAATCCTGTTACAATAGGTAATACTAGGGCAACAAAGAATACAACCAAGTTTATTTAAATAAAATAATCATTCTACTAGGAATACTTAGATGACAAATGCAAGGATCTGTCACATTAATGTCAGAACTCTGCATAATGGCATTCATTTATTCAGACACCTGAAAAGTCTCCTGAATGATGCACTTGTACCAAGTGTCGTCAACTTTATTCAAGTTAAAATGACAGCGTACAAACGACGTTACGCTTACTTTAGCGTCTTTTTGTAAACATTGTTTGGTTAAGTGTCACCAGTAATAAAATGTGTGGTTTTAGCAGAAAGTTCCAACTCTTTCTTGAATTTATATTGAGTTTGATACGTTGTTTAAATAATTGATAATAGTTTTAATTTCAAGGCTACGGAAAAGTTATAGTTTATCATTAGTTTTTTCGTTATATAGGACGTTGAGTATTATCATTTAGTCTATATTGCTGAAAATTAACAGTAGGGTTATACATTATTTCGTCGGGTGCAAATATTTTCTTTCATAAAAGCTTGATGAAACTAATTTTAATGTGAGTAATATACATTTATGGTAAAACTAAACTCATAAACCCATAAACTAGTATTCAACAAATATCCAAGTTATGAATTAATTTTCACTCACCAACAATGCTTTAATAGATCAAAATATGACATTAAAAAAACTAATAGTAAAATTTCCTTCGAGAAAAAAAACTACATATTAGATAGATTTTTATCTTGGGACTTAAGTATTTGCAAATTAGAACAGTAAAGAAGGAGGTATGAACTTTGTGCCTAGACCTTTTTATTACATATCGTTTTCGTATTCTCTTACACTTAGCCTATAATTATGTGTTTGAGGGGAGCTTGACTTGACCCCAAGGTCATCATTCTCCTCCCTACTATCCTACTTATCGTCCAATACCTGCCACCACAGACAAAAGACCACTGTGGAATATGAAAATGCTTGATCAGGAATTTCAAAGAGGAATTATAAGTAATAATGTTTTGATGTTACGGGCTGGATACAGGGTGGTAATAAAGCCCGAAGACAGTTAAATATTTAAACAAATAATGTAGATAGATTTACAGTACCTGGTACAAAGTTACAAGGCATAAAACTCTATTTTAACACATATTCAGTGATCCAATAATTCTAAAGGGGGACGGCCAACAAGGGGTCGGAAGAAATAATAGTAACTATAATACTATAATACTTCCTATTCAGAATACATGTATATACATGGCTATCCTAACCAAGGTAGTGTCAAATTTAGCTGGAACGAGGCACTATATTTTGACCTATACTAAAAAGTTCAAGTATACATTATAATGTAAATGAATTATAAATGGTTATTAAAAAGATAAAGAGGTTAGATTTAGTGTATATTTGTTTGTGGAAGACACATGTCATCAACAAAAAGGTGACTTCCTATCATCCTTATGCCAATGACCCTCACACAAACCCCCCCCCCCTCACGTTTAATCAGTGAAAACGTTTGGCCCAATTTCGGAGTCCTTTAAGTAGGCTGTTTTTAGTTTAACGTTATATTTGTCAGACATAATTTAATTTGAAATGTTAAATCACCAAGCTTATGTCTTTTATTTCTAACGATGTTAGCGATTATAAAATACTAGATGTAGTAACACACCAGATACAACGGTAAATCAATTGCTATTATAAAGTCATGCCATTTTGAATTAAGCCGTTTACAAAAATTATTCTTACACGTATAATACAAGTAATGCAACAGTTGTATTTATGGAAAAGGTTTATCATCAGAATCATCGGTCCATTTAGAAATGTCTAAATAACTGCTGTACACCTATTTTTTCTTCACTTTAATACATCAATAATATGGTGGTCATAGCTGAAAACAATGGTTTCGGGAGTACCGGTAATTCATAAAGTATTATAGAGATAAACGCTGCTTTAAAATTATTATTTTCATTAGTGTTCAACCATGACCAGAAACTGACCACAAACATATAATCTGTTTGAAAAGATAAAATCGCTTTGAAATCTGCCTGCAAAGCTTTGCCCATTGGAATAAAGTTCTGCCACAATTCATAAAAGCTGTTCCGTGAATTCCTTTATTGTGTGAACTGATTTAATTGAATACATCCAATTAACCAATGGCGGATACGAGTACCCCATTCACTTCCCGCCATTGTTAAATACCACAACTACCACTCTCCTCACCCCGACTTCAACACCCCAACCCCTTGCCTCACCACACTATCGTTACTTGGTTAAGTAATTATCTCCGAGGATAAAGGCTTACTACCAACCCCTTTCACACTCTTCCTTTGTTAAATGTTATATTTTGTGTCATTTTTATGTTTTAGCCTTGCCCAAAAAGATGAGTAGTGTAATCTAGTATAGAAAAGGTTACTTGTTTCGTTGAAAAACGTATCTGTATGGAAAGAATTAAGTAAAGAGAGCTAACCGTGAATGTTGTGCAGGGGAAAAGCTACCTTTAGTTTAAATGTTACTTTTGTATTTCTAAAGTCGTGATATTATACCTCAACCTGCTTTGAAATATGTCCTTACTTGTATAAGTAACTAAAATTCTACGAGAGCTCGCCCCGTCGCGTCGTCAAAAAATTGACCAAAAGTAAGTATTGTTCAAATGTCTCTATTTTCACCCCACGCTGTAAATAAAACATGTGATTGGAATTTCTTCCATTTCTTTTGATTTTCATTTATATTTCATTCTTATTCCGTCACCAACATGATAACTCATATAACCCATGTTAATAAAAAAAAGATTAAATCATCTGTTGTGCTTATTTTTAGCTTATTTTAGTTTATAAAGGGATTCTGCACATCTACAGGAAAATATATTTCATTTAGTACCAACCACGTTTAATTTGGTCCATTAGTATGTTCAGACTAGCTGTCGTAAGTTTTGTAAAATTTTTTTATTATATAAGATGGTCATAATTGATAAAAACTAATAGCTTTGTTACTGTAGGAGATAAAAGACACTAAAAATTGCAAAGATTGTCGGGTAATGTTAGATTATATTAAAGACGGTACATTCAACAAAACTACTTACTTACTTTGGTGCACTACTTTCTAGGCTCTAACGAACTACGTTCATTTACATTCTGAACCTAGGTAGAGTCTCAGCATGGTATATATCTAGTTCTACCCATATTAATAACTAGCATTACTATTATTATTGTCTATCGGCACAACCTTAAATGTTCATACTCCGAAAAGGATCTGATTCTATCACACTTCAGACTAAACGATCGCTCATTCGGGATTAAGGTGAAGAAAGTAGGTTAAGCTAAGCTAGGAGAGGGAACGGTTGAGCGGCACAAGCGGATGTAACTGGTAACACCATCGGCTTACACGAATTAATCTATCATTTCAATTCCACAACAGGTATTAACTTTTTTATCCCACAGGCGTAAAAGCTGATGGCTTTGGCTCAAACTAATTTATTTGGCGTTTGAAATATCGACGGTAAATGTGTTGCATGTATATATATAAAAATAATAGTAATAGCATATGCCTCTTTTCTTTATTAAGTTATTGGATACCTTAAAACACGTATACATATCGTTACCATGCTTTTTTCTACTAAGACAATTTTATTTATTCAATTAAAATGTTACATCTCAATTTTCAAGTGAGTTTTGGACATCGTAACAATCAATGAATAGGAAATCTTTCTAATAAAGTTTATTTATATTGTGACATCCTTATAATTTTTTTTTAATATACATTATTTTCAAACGGTGCGTTTTGGGTAGCCTTAGATTTTGTATAGTTGATCAAATACAACTAACCAGTTTAAGTTAAACGTTCTTATACAATATTTTGTTATTAAATAAAAAATAATTTAAAACTGTGATGGAGTCCTTTATTTTGTTATGTAATGAGTCAAATCTACGATTACAACCTATACTAAAAACGATTAAAATATCAAAAGCTGATCTATCAAAAAGTGGTCTAACTTTTAATGATAGTATATGGTAATAAGTGTATGGTAATATGGCACTTAATTATTTACAATCGTTGGAATAGTCATAAATCGCTTAAAATTATTTGTTTACCTAAGTATTTTTTATGTTAAGAAGGTTACAACACTTTTAATCGCTGCAATTTCAAAACTTAACATTATAAT